TGTGGTGACTTGGTGTCCCATGGTTAAGCGTTCAGTCTCTACTAAGGCCCAGTAACAAGCCAAAAGTTGTTTCTCAAAAGGAGAGTAGTTATCTGCAGAGGATGGCAGAGCTTTGCTCCAAAATCTTAAGGGTCTGTGCTGTGATTCACCAGTAGGAGCCTGCCAAAGACTCCAGACACCATCTCTATCTGCCACTGACACTTCAAGCACCACTGGATCAATTGAATCATATGGTCCAAGTGGCAGAGTGGCTTGCATAGCAGCCTGAACCTGTTGCAGAGCCTTCTGTTGTTGTGATCCCTGCTCAAAACTAGCAGCTTTTCAAGTCACTTGATAAATAGTCTGGAGTAGCACACGCAAATGAGGAATATGTTGCCTCCAAATTCAAAGGGGCCCACTAGGCACTGTGCCTCCTTTTTAGTTGTGGGAGCAGCCAGATGCAATAACTTATCCTTCACTTTAGAAAGAATGTCTTGACATGCCCTACGCCATTGGACCCCTAGAAATTTCACCGAAGTGGAAGGTGCCTCAATTTTTGTAGGATTAATTTCCCACCCTCTAGCATGCAAATGTTTTACCAATAAGTCCAGAGTCATTGACATGTCTTCCTTACTAGGTCCAGTCAGCATAATGTCATCAATGTAATGGACCAGTGTGATGTCTTGTGGAAGGGAAGGGCGATCAAGGTCCCTGCAGATAAAATTATGACATAGGGTTGGAGAGTTGATGTAACCCTGAGGTAGGTAGCTGAAGGTGTATTGCTGACTAGCTAAAGGCAAACTGCTTCTGATGGTCCTTTGAAACAGGTATGGAGAAAAAGGCAATAGTCAGATCAATAGCTGCACACGAGGTACCAGGAGATGTATTAATTTGCTCAAGCAGTGAAACCACATCGGGAACAGCAGCTGCAGTTGGAGTTACCACCTGGTTCTCAGTAGTCTACTGTCATTCTCTAAGATTCGTCTGTTTTTTGCACAGGCCAAATAGGCGAGTTGAATGGGGATGTGGTGGGCATCACCACCCCTGCATCCTTCAAGTCCTTAATGGTGGCAGTAATCTCTGCAGTCCCTCCAGGAATGTGGCATTGCTTTTGGTTTACTATTTTCCTAGGTAGGGGCAGTTCTAATGGCTTCCACTTGGCTTTTCCTACCATAATAGCCCTTACTGTATTTGTCAGGGATCCAGTGTAGGGGTTCTGCCAGTTGCTGAGTATATCTGTTCCAATTATGCATTCTGGAACTGGGGAAATCACTACAGGATGGGTTCGGGGCCCCACTGGACCTACTGTGAGACAGACATGAGCCAAGACTCCATTAATAACCTGACCTCCATATGCCCCCACTCTGACTGGTGGGCCACAGTGACGTTTTGGGTCTCCTGGAATTAGTGTCAGTTCAGAGCCACTATCCAGTAATCCCCAAAAAGTCTGATTATTTCCTTTTCCCCAGTAAATAGTTTGTCTCATAAAAGGCTGTAGATCCCTTTGGGGAAGGCTGGGAGAAAGATTAACAGTAAAAATTTTTGGCAGTGTGTTGGAGTCCTTCCTCAAGGGGATCTGGCCTCCCCTTCATTCAAGGGGTTGTGGTTCTTCAAACTCACTCAAATTTGAGAATTGTTTGAGGGACTGTGACTCTTTATTCTGGCGATTTGAGTTAGACTGCTGTTGACCTGACCTAGAATTCAAGCGTTTCTACAAATCAAGCAATTATTTAGTAGATTTCCTATCTACTTCACTCCTAGGGACACTGTGATTAAGTAGCCAATGCCATAAGTCCATACGAGTCAGACTATTCTGATTACTGCTTTGATTCCTCTGTCCTTTACTGTAACCATGCCCACCTTGCCTTTGTCTATTGAGTGCAGCCACTGGGCCCCCACTGCCATGGGGTCCAGTCAGCCCCGTTGTAGTTAGGTGTCTTAATTCAGTTAGGGCAGTTCCCACTGTCAAATCTGACTTACATAAAATAGCAATCACAGCAGTCTTCAAGGATTCTGAAGCTCCCTTCACAAATTTGTTCCTCCCAGTTGTGGTAAAAGATGTGTCCTCTGGGCACTCCATGTGTTGGGTCTGTGGGACTAACCTGATAAATCCACTCTAGCATGCCAATTTCCCTAAGCCTTTGGATACCTTCTTCTACAGTATACTAAGGCAGGTCTGGTACTTCAACTTGATTTAGTGTAGGCCACCTCGTAATCCATGCTTCAGCAACCCAACCGAATGAACTGTTGGATCCTTTCCTAACTTCTCTAGCTGAAACGTTGAATGAACAATCTGCGCTTAGTGGACCCATATCAATCACTCAGACTGATCCATCTTTATGTTCCTTGCACCATTATCCCACACCCTTAATAGCCATTCCCACACGTATTCCCCAGGTTTCTGTTTGTACGTATTAGAAAAGTCAAGTAGTTCTTTTGGTGTGTAGCATACCTTTTCCTGGGTCACACTTTGTACTTCACCTTTTGTAGCGTGCTGGGACTTAAGCCTAGTTATAGGTCTAGAAGCCAGAATTGGTAGTGTGGAATTGTTTTGAGAACATTCAGCATTGTCTTGTAAAGCATCTGCCTCAGGCGATGCCCCAGGCAATGACTCAGGCAAGGGCTCTTTAGAGGCAGCTGGGCTAGGGCTAATCTCCTCAGATGGGAATGGAGGGGCTAATGGTTTTGCTGGGCAGGGTGGTTTAGCAGATAAACATGAAGTAATCTCTTCAGATAGGACTGGTTCTGCTGGCAGGAGTGATTCAACTGAATTTAGAGGCTCAGTGTCCCCAGCTTCCTGATTATCTGCCCTTATGTCCCCATCCCAAGTTTCCGGATCCCATTTCTTCCCAATCAATGCCCTTACTTTAAATTTAAGACACCTCTCGAGGTTGCAATTGAGCTGGCGTTGTAATTCAGCCACTCTTACAGTAAGACTCTGGGTTTGGGTTTTGGCAGTTTCAGCTCTGTTACTACAAGAAATAAGTCTTTCAGAGCATAACTTGAAGCCTTGAGGTCATGTATGTGGCACTTGAGCTTTGACTCTGAAGCCCTGAGCACATCTCTTTCTTTCACCAGTTTGTCTCGGGAAAGTAGGACCAACCAACCAGCTTCCTTATACTTCTCATTCTGACAAAGCTATAGAAAGGTATCACACGTGTTCACCCTGAGCCTCACCTTTCACCAATACCTGATCTACTGGTGGTGATATTTCGTGTATTTGTATCGCACCTCACGCCATGGACTAACAGTGCCCCCTTTACTGCTGGAAGCAGAGTCATCAACATCTTTAAGACTAGTGAGACTTGAGAACCAATTTAGAAAACTCATCCTTACAATTTTTTTTCTCTAGAAACACTCTCAGTACCAAATGTCTTAGGCTGGGTTCTCTAGAAAAGCAAAATCAGTAAAACGTATAAATATATAGAGAGAGAGATTTATCTCAAGGGAACAGCTCACGTGATTGTAGAGGCTAGAACGTCCCAAGTCCATGGATCAGGGTAGAGGCCTCTCCCAAGTCACGTAGCTGCAGAGGCTGGCAAACCCAAGATAGGCAGGTCACAGAGCAGGGCTCCACTCACAGGCTGTGAAGATCGACGAATCCCAAGTTCGGCAGATAAGCTGATAGCTCAATTTCCAAGAACCAGAGTTGAGACAACAGGGGGCAGCCGCCGGATCCAGAGAGGGCAAAAAAACAGAACGTCTGCTTATATTCAGATGGAGGCCACACCCCCAAGGAAACTCCTTTTCATCTGATTGGCTACTCACAGCATATTGAATGATGGTAGTGATCACGTATAAACACTGAGAAACATGGCCCAGTCAAGTTGACGCACAATCTTAACCATCACGAACCCAGACACACAACACGCTTTATAAGGACACAGATGTTCAAACCCCAGATCATATGCAATGGAGTGGGGACTTCCATGAGGGCAGTGTGGCATGGGGGTGACAAGAGCCTTCTACGAGCCTGTGCATGGAGCTCGAGCCCCCTCATAGGAAGGGGCAGGGGTCCTGGGGAGTGCACCCCAGCATGCAGGGTGGGGGTCCATGAGGAGCCACACTGCAGGATAGTGACCCAAACCCTGTACCCATCCTGAGCCTGCACCTGCTACCAGGCACAGTCTTTTCACCTTGGAGCCGCCCCCCTGCAGGTGGCCCTGGGCATGGTGGTAGGATGGGACATAGTGGGTGGCCATATCCAGCTTTGGGCACTTGGGCATTACTGCCTCAGTGCTTGCGGGCCAGCATCCCCGAGCTGATGGGAGGTAGCAGTCACAAAGCTCCAAGAGGCTGAGCTGTGCAGGCCTGTCCAGTTGGTGGGTGCCCAGCTCCCTGACCCCCTTCTGTGTCATCAGATCAGCTGTGAGCCTTATGGATGTGGCTGGAAAGAGGCCCCAAGTCCGCAGTTCTCAGAGGTCAGCACGGTAGCCGTGGCCAGGGCCGAGGTACAGGGAGCATGTCCACACAGCCTGTTCAGTGTGGTCCACAGGCAGGAGGCTTCAGCCCTGACCCCACGTCAGCAAACCCGAGTCCTACTGCAGCCAGAGCGGCTCTCAGCGCTGAACGCAGATGAGAGGTTTTTAAAAAGGAAAAGGGATATAGCAAGAAGCAGGTAGAATAACACACCTGGGGTGCAGGGACTATGCCAAGAATAGCTTTTTCAAGAAGGAATCCAAATGGCCCCAGACAAGGAGAGAGGAAGGAGAGAAGCCATAGATTTGGAGACAACCTGATGAACCACGGAAGGGAACTGCCATGCTAGCAGATTTATGAACCTGGCTGGTGCAGATGGCTTTCCAAGGAAAAGGGACTTACCCAGTTAGTGCAGGAGAGAGACCCGGGAGAGAGTGACAGAGGCCAGGGAACCCCAGAGTGGACGTGCTGGTAACGGTGTCCTTAGTAAATCAACACTTGGGGCCCCGATGCTGTACCATATTTAAACTGACCCACTGCATAGGGAAGGGGCAGATTCTAAATTCTTTTTGTGAAGCCAGTGATCATTGTGGTGCAGAAGTTTTATAGCACAAAGAGACTTAAGAACCGAGATACAAAAATGCAAGTAAAAGCTAGCAGGTGGGATCCAGGTGCTCTTAAAAGATCAGTACACCCCGCAGAGTGGCATTTGCCCTAGGTCCAGGGGACGATATTATGGGCCTGTCCCAGAAGAAGCCATCTGACAGATTCCAAAACTCCTCCTTCCTCGTTTTTCAAAAGGAAAAGACTGCGATAAGTGGGGACGGACAGGTCTGTGGGGGCTCTGGAGGCTTTGTGAGCTGATCTGAGCGGATGCCTCTCCCCACAGGTGTCTGAGTGCGGCTGGACCGCCAGGCGGGCGCCCAACCTCCACAACCTCTACAACATCTGCAGGAACATGCACTCGTGGCTCAAGCAGGACCACAAAAACGTGTGTGTGGTGCATTGTGTGGTGAGTAGGGCTCATTGCTCGTCTTTGTGTTTATCAGCATTGATAATTTCACACGTTTGTTCAACACAAACCTAGCGCCAGTTATGAGTCAGACTGTTCGTAACCTTGGGGACATTCCAGAGGACAAAATGCCAAACAGACAAAAATCCCTGCCCATAGGAAGCTCACATTCTGTTGAGGGGGGGCAGAAAAGATATCCATGACGTGCACAGACCCTCAGGTGGGGACAGGTAATGTGGAGAAACGTGATATTGGGCTCAGCCAGGCTGTGGGCTGTTCTGGGGCTCCAGAGGGGGCTTGGAGATGGCTCCTGAGCTGGCGAGGATGCTAGGCTGATAACTGGGGTGGGTGAGGGCAGCTAAGCTCATGTCTGGGGCAGGTGAGGGTGCAGGGCTGATACCTGGGGTGGCTAAGGGCACCAGGCTGATAACCAGGGCAAGTGAGGGTGTGAGGCTGATACTTGGGGCAGGTGAGGGCAGTAGGCTGGTGCCTGGGGTAGGCGTCTGTGCAACCCCAGTCTGGGGGTGGGGGGAGCGTCCCGGGGCAGCCTGGACTCAGTGCTTGCACCCTCACCCCACCCACAGTGATTACAGTTGATTCTAGGAAATCAGAGGGGACTCCGTGGTGCTGGATGTGGGTGTGGACGGGTAGTGGGTCCTGCCGAGTCTAGAGGCCCATGTTTTCCATGATCCCTCCCGCTGGCCCTGCTGCAGCCTTCCCTGTGGCGCAGCCTAGGACAGCCTGCCCGGCGGCTGCAGCACCTGTGTGAGGGCCTCTTGTGGAGCAGCCGTGGGCATTCCATGCACCCCAAGCCCCACAACCTACCTTATCGTCTGAGGGCTAGGTTCGGGGGAACTCGTGCCATAGGGCAGATGGGCACTAGAGCACGGGGAACCCACGCTGTAGGGCGTGTGCTGGAGCATGGGGAACCCACACTGTAGGGCGGGTAGGTGCTGGAGCACGGGGAACCCACGCTGTAGGGCAGGTGCTGGCTCAGCCGTGCTCTCATGGCAGGTGACTGTTGGACCCTGAAGGCGCAGAAGCACCATGCTTACAGCAAGTTCTTTCCTGGTGTCTGCATTACCTGGACCAGGTCCCCAGTCATTTCAAGGGCAACAAAGTCCAGAAAGGGGAGCAGCCACTCCAGGCACATCCGTGCTCGAGCCTCGTAGGTCTGTCGCTCGCTGCAGAGTGAACGCCTGCCTGTCTAGTGGACTCTTTGTCCCCTGCAGGTGCTGGCCTGAGGTGCTGCTCTGGGCGCCTCCCTCCCCGTGTACCTCTAGACGCAGGACCTGCCAGTTTGAGGGCACTTGCCAGCTGGGACCCTCAGGGGGCACTGCCATGTCTTGCTGCCCCAGTTCTCTTAGGCTGCACCGCGTTCTGTGAGGCAGCATCCCACCTGGGCATCCCACACCTGGGTATCTCACATGGCTCCCGCACCGAGCCCACCTGCCGGTGCTGGGACCCAATTTCCGCCCCTCTTTGCCAAGGAGATGACGGTGTCATCATTCCTGCTTTCTTCACGTGAAGATGGAGGGTAGAGGATTTGAGTTTTCACACATAGTTCAGCTCCACCCAGAAATCGTGTGATGGTTCACTGGTTCTGCCACCCTGATGGTAGTGATCGCAGTCACAGGTCAGTGACAGCCATGAGAACCGAGGGAGATGGAGCGGTGTGCTCACTGGAGTCTCAGAAGCTTGTGGTTTCCTTGGCCCGTGTCGCTTGAACCCGTGCGGTTGGGGGAGGGAGCAGAGCAGATGGGACAGCCCAGAGCTTATGTTTCTGTGTCCGTCTCTGAGTGCTCAGCTCTGGGCACGCTCGCTGAGGTTCCTGCCTGTCTTTGTTGGGCTCTGAGCACTCAGTTTCCGGGCCTGCTCACCTGGGTTCCCACCTGTCTCTGTTGGACTCTGAGCACTCAGTTCCGGGCATGCTCGCCCTGGTTCCACCTGTCTCTGTTGGCTTCTGAGCACTCAGTT